GTTTGTTTGGGTGGCGAGAGAGGTATGAAGCGATATAAAATTTTAGACACAATGATTTGATTAATAATGAGAGTTCTACCTCGGTAGGACATCTTAGGTGAAAACCTTCCCCACCATTCAAGTTTAGATTTCACTTTATCTGTAATGCCATCCCAATTCTGTGCCATGTATGCATCGCTATTCCCAAGAAACGTGCCAAACACCTTTAGCCCCTCATTGTTCCACGTAATGGATAATGGTTTATCAGTCCGTGTTTTCCAACCTCCTGCCCAGAGACCATTCGACTTATTAAGATTAATTTTTGAGTTTGATGCCTCCTCATATATATGTATCCATTTGCTTAATTTCAGAAAATCGTCGTTGTGTGTAATAAAAAAGCTGACATCGTCAGCATATGCTGTTAGATGTGTCGGGTTATTATTTGAATTGTGGGTCTTAAAACCCTGCATACCACTCTCTTTGCGTATTTTGTTCAAGAGTGTCTCAATAACAATAGAGTACAACTGACCACTGAGTGAGTCGCCCTGTCGTATTCCGCGTAGAAAATTGACAGGATTTGTGAGTGTCGAGTTGACTCTAATGAGACTCTGTGCTCCAGAATAAATTAATTTAATATGTTTAATAAAGGCTTCGCCAAAACCGAAAGCCTGTAGTGTTTTGAATAAAAAATTGTGATGCACCCGGTCAAACGCTTTCTGCTGATCTAGAGCGACTATAGCAAGTGGTACATTATTAATGTTGGAATATGAAATAATATCCCGGACTAGACTTATATTATCAAAGATGCGTCTTCCCGGAATACAATACGATTGATCAATATGAATTATTTCATCGAGTGCATCACGAAGCCGTAAGGAAAGTGCTTTTGTAAAGATTTTGTAATCCGTACAAAGGAGGCTCACCGGTCTCCAGTTACTTAATAAATTGTTATTTCCGTTTTTGGGCAACAAGGAAATAACTGCCCTCCGACAAGACAACGATAACACACCATCTTCAAGAGAGGCAGAGAAAACGTCGTACAGATCTTTGCCCAACACCTTCCAAAATTGTTTGTAAAACTCACACAGTAATCCGTTGATTCCAGGCGTTTTACCACGTGACAGGAGTTTGACTGCCTTAGAAAGTTCATCAAAGGTGAGATCCGAGTCGCATTTCTCTTTTTGGTCAGCAGACAACTGAGGAAGATCTCTTAATAGAATATTCTGACAGTCTAAAGAAACAGAATCAGGTGAGAAAAGTTCTCTATAAAACTCACACACAAGGCGACACATAGAACTTGGTGAGTCTGCTATTGTGCCGTCGGGCTGTTGTAACTGATATGACCTTTCTGCGACCTTTATGTTTTTCAAGTTCAAAAAAGTACGATGTTGGTGCATCATTTTCATTTAATAAGCGATGCCGTGCTCGTATGGCTGTGCCTCTCGCTTCAGTTTTCACAAGGTTTTCGAGCATGTCTCGCTTTTCAGAAAGCTGTCTCTCAACCACGGGGTTGCCATTGGCAACCACCTCTAACTGCTCTATTGTATTACAGATATCCCGTTTAATGGTGTGATAGTTTTTACTGAGTTTTGCTGTATACTGTTTGGTAAGCTGTTGTATGTTGCGTTTTCCAACATCCCACCACATCTGGATAAATTCAAAGCGTGATTTTTGTTGTTGCCATGACAACACGACTTTGGTACCAGGAAGGTATCAAGCCGTGAGCATGTAGTACCTCGACTCCACGTAAACTGTTTATTGTCGGCGTTGACATGGCGCCATGCGTCAATGAGTTTAAAGCGTCTAGCGACATGAGAGAGAAACCTGGAAGAAGGTAAATGTAGCTCTGTGCTATTTTGTCTATCCAAACTTGGATTAATGGTACAATTAAAGTCACCACCCACAATACAAGTATCGCTGTTTATATCATTTAACAGGGATTTTAGTTTTTGAAAACATTCCAATCTCTCTAGTCCATCTGTGGGTGCATAAACATTCACCAGATGTACAGGAAAATTGTCCAGCTCGATGTGTGCATGTAGCAAATGACCTTCTATAACATTGTGAATGGAGAAAACATTGACCTTTGACCCCGGTTTCAATACAATGGCCACACCTGAAGAGTGGTTGTTACCATGGGAAAAGAAGCACTGACCTCTCCACACTACTTGCCATGCAGCCTCATCGCAAGCATTTGTGTGCGTCTCTTGTAAAAAATAAACATGACTTGAATAATTAGATTTCAGAAAATTAAATACTTGGTAACGTTTATAGGCATCACGACCACCTCGTATGTTCCATGTAGTAGCCTTAATATTTGCCATTAATAACACAAGAAGTAGAATGTATGTAATACGCATGATAGATGTTAACAGTGATGTCATTTATTATATATATAGTAAAATCAGTTGGGTTGTGTTTTTACAATTTTTTCTGTTTCTTCCCTCCACCTTTAGGAAGACCACACCTCGAATTTACCGCATCCGATCTCGCAGTTTCAGGTAGGTCAGTCGTCTTTGCTTGCAGAGCACGTTTCCATATTCTGGCTGCCATTCGTTGCACACAAATTTTTTCTTTAGCTGCCATGTCC